TTTTTTTTTTTTTTTTTTACGGTTTCCCGTGAAAAATATATAAAACAAACAATAAACGATTAACGCGTCCCGAGGGTTTTCTTCATCGATGCGTCGTCATCGGTAACTGTCCCTGGACGCGAACACGTTTTCCGATCCCGCGACCGGAACCGGACTATGATAGACGCTCCACCGCACGCGTTTTCCGTAATCCTTTCCTTCGCGGGCTAACCGTCTTCGCCGCGGTCGACGCGAACGCAACAACGGAACACGCGGATCGCGCTACCCGGGACCACAACCCCAAGCCTCTCGGAGGGCTTCTTCCGGTCCACTGACCATCATGGTAAGCACAACCAACTAATACCATTAATATATTTCACGAACACATGTATCGTGTTTTAATTTCAATTATTTATTAAGTTCTCCCTCCCCCGCGCGAATTCGAGTGGACGAGTAGTAGCACTGTGTAGCATGCACAAATATCGCATATTGTTTATCGTTTATTTATCAACACGTTCCAGTTTTGGATGCGTTAAGAAATATTTTCTACGGTAATATTATTATAACTTTGCAATTTTTATAGAGTCGTAAGCGATTTCGATGAGAATAAAATCGAAAAACTAATTAATGTCTCGGAAAAAGAAATTTACTAGCGATCAAACATGGCAATCCACGATATTTTTACCACAAACGGCGTGATATATAACGAGAACCGATTCCCACTCGAGATCAACACAACCTTTATTTAGGCAATATACTGATCACTTTTCGCTTTTCATAGTAAATTTATATTTTTAATTGCGTCATTAATTTATTACAATAAATATACACGGGGTGAGTACAGATATAATAAATCGAGTAACTACTACTTGCGTTGAATTCATCTACGCCTGATCAACATAGGATATTAATTTTAATTTTGAAGCTACGATAAATTTATTGCGTTCATTAAATGATTCTAGTCAAATACTATTTTAAAATATTTAATACATATTATTTTTTTTATCAATATCCAATTTGTATTTATTTTATTTTATATTTTTAAATTTTCCTTATGTGATTTTTAAAGTTTAAAAAAAATAAAAAAGTTTTATTCATATAACTACATTATTTTTTTAATCTGTCGATCAGTATTTCAGTATAAGTATAGATGCATTTTTTGGACTTATGTTTTCTAAAATAAAAATATTTATATTTACGTTTACATTAAACAAACAATAATATTCTTTAATCAAATGGTTAAGAATACTTATTATATTCATATAAAAGATTGTAAAAAATAATTATTAGTAATATTAATTGTATAAAAATGTATGGCACTGAATGTAAATTACCTTTCTCATGATTATAATTTATTTGTTAAACTGTTAATTTCGATGAACAAAGCATAAAAAGTAAATTTATAAAATAAACATTCAAATGGAAATAATGTACTAAAAACAAAATATAATTATTCGAAAATAAAATATAATGCGAATGTAAAATTTTATCTATGTGTTATGTGTTATATTTAATATATCTATATTTTATTCAAAGTTTAATTTCAATACAAAATTATTGTTTAATCAAATTTTAAGGGATTTAAGTTTCGTAAAATAATATATCTTTACACATACATTAAAATTGATAAGATAATTCCATTTTATTGAGCTTGTGTGGAACAGTAAAATATTTATGTATACTTAAAAGAGTAATAAAAGAAAGTTGAACCAATTTAGTATACTATTTTTTTAAGAATGGTGTCATAAAAAACTATATTTTTCTAATTTAAAAAATAAAAACTTTCCTGTTTTTTTTTTTTTTAGATGTCGTTGGTAAAATTTATTTTAAATGAAAACTGATATTTTATGAACTTATTTTATGATTCAAGGTAAAATTATTTTCCGTATTTATCATGAAATTAAATAGCACCCAAACGCAATTCTAATTTATTATTCTCTGTGTATATTTTTATATTAATATACTGTATATCCTTTCTAAACATATTATTGTATGCAACTATTAATTCGGAGTATATAATTTGAATTAATCGATTTTAAACAGTTTCCAGCAATCAAATACTTAATTAATAATTTTACAATTTATATTTCAAACTGCATCGGCTTTTATCAAAACGCTTATTGTTAATTTCTGCCTGCGAAAATAAATAAAATAGATAAATGTTTTACACGATTAATTAAACATTCCAAGCTCTCCACATAGGATCATAGATTTTGTAATCAATTATATTCGATTGTTTTCGTTTTAATGTTACACGTATGTTCTAACTCCCAAGTCCCAGTAAGTGTAACCATTGTTTGCATAGTTCTAACGCATTGTATTTTCTCATTATGTGAACTCATCAATGATTTTTTATATATTGTTATTGTTATTGTCAACTATAAACACGCAATTATTTTATTGTTCGGTAAAAATGTATGTACATAAAAATGTTTATGTATAATTTAAAACCATCTTATAAATTTGATTTGACTAAACTGATTCTAATGGAATATCGGTGAAAATGAAGGAAAAATTTAAGGTAACTTTAGGTCCCGAGGGTACGCCAAATGTGTATATAAACTAGAAATGTATCATTTTTTACAGTTTACCTACTCGTACATTTTTTTTTTTTTATTATTGTTATTATTTTTATTTTTATTTTATTTTATTGGAAACCGTTTATAATAGTTTTACGAAAATGATTCCATTCAAAAAATTCCTTATATATTAGTACGGCTTAAAAATAATGTAATTTTTTTTTTTTAATCTATTAAATTCACGTTGCCTATTGTATATAAGAACCCGAGATGATGCTTTGTGATCATGAAATCGATAATAGTTTTGTGGTTATCCGAATGGACTTCATATAATAATATCCACGTCTACGTAGTGTATATATGCATATAATATACACACGAATTGAAAACCTTAGTGGATATAAATATTTTTATTTCGATTTATTCAAAATGATTGCCCAACATTCGGTCCGGTGAGTGAAATGATGAGATGAGATGGTAGCGTATAGACGAGTTTATTTCGGTTCTCGTCACGTTCGATGTCTTGGAAATCCGGTTATATAATGAGTGTGCGATTGACCACAAATCGTGGATACTCGAAAAATGTACGCATAACACAATCAAAATGAAATTAATGATTATAATAGAAAAGAGCAGTACGAATAATATTTTATTACAATAAATCAGTTATAATTTTTGTCGTCCATTAAATTGAATTTAATTATGTTTGAGAAAATAGATCTTAGAGGTCCCCTTGTAACCACCGACGACTAGGGTCCGTCGTGTGTTCCCCGAGACTGTATACGTATATAAAGCTAAAACGGTATTAACAAACAAAGCAAAAAGCACGTATACAACTATCAGCCGGGAATACACTCGGGGCCGAGTCATTAATTCAGTGTATACACCAACAACAGTCCGGCAAACATATAGGTTTTGTTGTACGTGTAGTGTACGTACACACATGTGTATGAATATAAGTATAAATAAATGTACGCAGTGGACTTTAGAATGTAGCTCATACACAGTGACCCGGATCCCATGAGAACCTGCAGCCCAATTATATATATATAAAAGGATTCGCTGGGCCTTAAATATCTTTTTGTTGGCTGTACACATTGTTGCGATATGTGTATAAAACAGTTTTTGCGAGAAACCAATATATAGTGTCGATATGTTAGATACGTAACCTACGTTCTGCGTGGCTCGGCACGTTGTGGCGATCTCAAGGGCATTCTTTCATTATATTATACCGCTGATATTGTTGCGCTATTAGTTTGATAGCGTCGAATTGGCGAATCAATGAAGTATCTAATTTCCTTTAAAATGGTTCTCTCAACTTTTGCTTTTTAATGTCTGTACCCGTCACGACCACCGTCGTGTACATAATTTTATATGAACAAAAATAAAACTATGGAATACCCATACAAATTAAACGTTTTACATACATTACTATAATCTGCTGCTTACATATTATAATAATAAAATATATTAATTTCAACTTTTAAATTTTTAAAATTCTAGCCACATACGTACCGTTTATCTATTACTTGATATAGGAAAATATTTTTTTTAATTCGAAACATTGTTTCCGGTCAAAACACAAGTAACATATAACGTTTACTACAACAACGCGGACGTATTATCTGCCATTAAAGGGTGGCAATTATTCAATTTGTATACAATATAGCAAGTTCAATATTATACATAATCTGAGAAATTAATTACATTGATACTCGGTTTATGGTCATAGCCAGTACATAATCCATTAATACTGTCATTCCCGACATTACAAACTCGTAATTTAATAACGTTTTGTTTATCGAGCCATTTCCATCTAACAGATGCAATTACCCTTTACATACGCAAGCTTCCTATCATTCGGCAATACAGTATTTTAGCCTTATAAATCATATTGTCCCAAGTAGCACACACTATTTGTAACACTATATGTTTAGCATAAGCTAGCAGTTGAATATAATTATATGGTGTACTGTTTTGTAAAACATTTATAACACCGTATTATTTACCATTCTTTGATAAGCTATTACAATTAATGATTTTTATTTACCTTCAAAGTTAAGATCTCTTGAACTTTCCAAGTTATATTTTCCTCAACATTTATCTTTCAACTCTTTGAGATTGACAGGAAGTTCTAGTTTTCACTATATTAGAGATTACAAGTTTACCGAACAATATGTTTACGTGCTTACTAAATTGCTCGTCACTTAAACTTGTTTATATTGAAACTTTGAACTTTCCCTTCCACGCGTTCAAAAGTAAATTATTCTTGACGTATAAAAACTATACACCTTACACTCGAAAATATATGTTTGACATATGATCCACTCAATGTCACTGCGCCTGGAGCTTAAAATAAATACAGCAAGTATATAACATTAAAACTTAAATATTTATTTCCCATAATATTATTTTATTATTATTCGTAAACTACGTTACACCTTTTTCTTTTTTATTTTCATAAATAATCACTCTGAAATGAGTCTTGTGAACTACTACAGCAATGTATTCAACGACGGTAGCGGTGACAACGACAAAAAACGTATACTTGAGATTTTAAGTTTTGATTAAAGTCATGATTCAACTTACTCGTTTATGCTAATATTTGTAAACAAAAACGTGATATTAACAAAATATGGTACAAGACCTGTTTTCCCTTCGTGTTTTTACGTTCTTTATATTCTCATCGATTTTTTTCTCTATTTCTCTTTTTCTCCCTTTATTTTGAAAAATGGTTCTTAAAAGTAGCCTCATTGCCTTTGGGTGACGTTTGGCACGCTGGTATTAATGGAGCTTAGCTGATCGGAGAGCATAAAGCGTATAC